TGAAAATCCGAATCGGGTCGTTTATGTTGAGTTAGTGCAGAAGATTTCCACACCGATTTCCGATTGATAAAGGTATATCTTACCTTCCCGATTCTAGTTGGCATTGACATCTTCATCCATTCCGCCTGTGGTCGAAACGATACTTCTTGGATAAATGAAGCTAATAACCTCTTTCAAATTTCTCCCGTTAATGGTGATTGCTGTAGGTTATTGTTGCTGTTGATGGTTGGTTATCTTAATCACCTCCATCTTCTCTAAGTTCCCTTAAAGTCCTTTCTGTGTTATTTCTTCTGCCACTTTGTTGCTTTTCATCTGTAAGCCTTTCGAGTTTGTCACACTAGATGTAACGGAATAATTTTTTTTGAAAAATCTCTTCTGAATGATCCAATTACAATTTTGATGCTTTGCAACTAACTTTGCAAGTATCGTGATTTTTTCTTCTTGACTTTATATCATTGTCTTCACAATTGAATAGCACACATTGGCTTGATCCTTGCGTCGGTGGCACAGTGGTTAGGACTCTCGCTGACCATGCACATGGTCCGTGGTTCAAGCCCACGCCGACGCACACCTGATCATCTATGGTCGGCCTGCGAAATTTGGGCTACCGATATCCACGCTGAAAATTCCATACCTGTGGAATCAGGCTGTAATCAAAAATAAAATTAATAATTAATTAAATACTTTTATTCCTGCTTAATCTCTAGTTTTAATGCCTGATTTTGGAGTTGTGAGATACACTGATAATGTGTGTTTTACGGTGTGATTTTGTTTAAGTGAATGAAGATCATTCTGAATTTGGACTGTCTCCAAAAATTGTTAGTGTGCAACTCATGTGGACAGGGATTTGATCTCGCCTTATTAGAAATATTCTTTTTGATTTTCAGGCACTTCTTACAGCTAAATTTCAGTTAACTACTTTCATTCTGCAATACTTCTTCTATAATGTTGCCTTGTCTGTATAGCTGTCTAACGGCACTGTTGAAGTAATTTTAAGTTTTTGATGCTATTATTTGTTGAGTAGAACCATAAATCTATTGACGAATATCCGTCCATTTTCTGTCTTTGAATTGTTGTGGGACTGTGAATTTCTCAAGGAAGTTTCGGACAGCTACAGAGAAGGACGCAAGGAGCATCTCCCTGCGTTCAGACCAACAGTCGGTTTTTGTGGTTAAACTGGATGTGAATCGTCCATGAAGTTCAGATATTCCAGTATTTTCTTATAGGCCCAAGGCGTTCATGTCTTCCTGCTCCCCACAAAAAATGTGCAACAAAGTCCAGTCCACCAAAATTAAGGAATATGATTAGTGATACCAGGCAACCTTATCTTCCTTCTATCTTCACTTCAAAGGCTTCGCTCAGTTTTCCGTTGTGGATCACTTGACATGTGACAGTGTCATATAACTGTCGCATACGATAAAAATCAGTCTGCGTTTAATACCGTGGAAACTCTCTTCTTCAATAAACTCATCAATAAAGTTTCTAATATTGATAGTGAGTTATAATTTCATGAAAAAAAAACACTTCGAAAACCCTAATTCCTATATTTGAATAATGTTGTCTTTAAAATAAACCGCTATTCAAGACTCAGCTATGTTATCATGCTAATATCCTTTGACAATTGCCCCGATACCGTTAGGATTTCGATCCTGAATTTTTGGGATATTATTAATTAGTACCACGAAGAATGTGAGTCCTTTGCTTAAGAAACTCACAATTTCTATGCATACGCAAGCTAGTTGTACTCTTACCACGACTTAACAGATGATTCTGTTTATTCAGCTTGCTACTATATGAAATACTTAAATGTAGTAGACGCATTTTCAGCAAATCAAACATGTAGTTTGAAAAAGTGCCAAGCTCTGACATTTTGAGTTCATCTATATTTCTGTGAAACCTCGAAAATACAGATAATTCGATATAATAAATTTACTCAGAATTACTGATACAATTTATTATTTTGTTCATTTATCTCATACACTCTGGGGACGTCAGCGGTTTCGCCGTAGAATGCTAGCCAGCCAGGTACTTCATATGGGATTCCATTCTTGGACAATGCATTTCTTGACTGCATCTAGTTTACCACCTGGTAGTAAGCTCGAAAAAGAGGGAAGGTGGGTCGATCGTGATGGTAGCAACCCCTCCTCGTAAAAACAACACCACCGCTACTGCAGCTTTAGAGTTTAAGACCTGAAGCACTTTTGGCCAACTTTAAGAATAGCGACCTAGAGGAACAGATGCACATACACGCAAGTGACTATATTCCTAAAAAACTGAAGAAAAATATGTGAGAATCTCAGACAGAATATCTGTCTATTTTGGAGTCAGGCCAGGGAAAAAACAGGGCTGGCGTCAAGGTGGGGATAAGTTAGGAGTTGGCTGGTATTGAGTTACGTGATGATTAAGGGTGTTTAGGGTTAGATCATGTAGGGTTTAAAGAAAGATGAAGTTCAGGTGTAGGTAAGGCGCAGATTGGGAATAGGTTGAGAGAAATCAAATTAAGAGTTAGGGAACCGCATTCGTTCTCTTGAAACCCATAGGTCATCTCAAAGTCATCAGTACATTCACTCTCTAAAGTCACTATTCTTTAGGTTTGCCGCCGTTACTTCCATTCGTCCATTCGGTAGATAAAAGAATGAAAAAAAATTGATTCTCTACAACATATCCAACATAAATTCACTCAAATACCGGATAATTGAAAAATACGATACAAAAGATGGGCACTTTTCGAGAAAACCTATTAGCCTGATCCTTCTCTGGCAATTATAAGATTTTTGAAGTAAAATCATTACTGTCACTCATCTCAAGTCCAATTGATTGACTATCACCTAGTGTTTGTCTTTTATTCACCTTACTACTGCCATTTTGTAAGTAGTTTGCGTAATTTTTAAAAGTCAAGATACTCCAATCCCATAGATCAAAAAGATAAGTTAGGTTTAAGACATATTTATATAAACATAAATATTACAATTATCCTTACAAATAGTATGATGATGAATGCTGTCTATATTTATGCAGCAGTTGATCGTCAAACCATCATCTTTTTTAATTAAATTCAATTTAATTCAATTTTTTTTAGAATTTCCCGTCGATTGATTGGACCGAAGTGCTCGGTCTCAAGTTGACATGTTGGCTCCTTGAGGAGATGCTTCGACGATGTCTGGGCATGTAACTAGGAGTCACTTGGTGGGTGAGGACTAGCAGTGGAATCCAGGATACGCGTTTCGTCCTATTTGGGGCTCGTCACTGGATGTACCTGCATTTCCCAGTGAGTAATGATGTTCCCACCGAGGCTCGAATTCAGTGCCCATGGTCTCAATTTTTGAATTAATGAATTAATATGACCCGATGCACATGAGATAACTCTCGCGACCCAAGTGGTCCAGTGGATAACGCTTTGGCGTTTGAAACTATGGGTACTGGGTTCGAGCCTCGGTGGGAACATCATTACTCACTGGGAAATGCAGGTACATCCAGCTGACGAGTCCCAAATAGGACGAAACGCGTATCCTGGATTCCACTGCTAGTCCTCATCCACCAAGTGACTCCTAGTTACATGCCCAGACATCGTCGAAGCATCTCCACAAGGAGCCAACATGTCAACTTGAGACCGAGCACTTCGGTCCAATCAATCGACGGGAAAATCTAACATTCAATTAAATAATTAATATGACCCGTTGCACAAGAGATGGCCGTCGTGACCCACGTAGTCCAGTGGATAACTCTGTGGCGCTTGAAACTAAGGGCGCTGGGTTCGACTCTCTGCGGGAACACCATCACTCAATGCGGGATGCGCAGTTACATCCAATTGACGGGTCCTAAATGGGACGAAATGTTCATCCTGGATTCTACTGCTAGTCACCATCGACCAATTAACCTCATGTTTTTACTTGCCGCACATATAACCTCATGAACTAAGAAAACGGATACACTTACTCAGTCAGAAATGGTTTCTAAAGGTATGAAAAGATTGCAGATTAACCAACAATACTAATAATCAGAGTAAGTTAAAAACTGTTGTTAGATGAGAAGCAGGCTGACTGAGTAGACACTTGACAATTCTGAAGAGGATGAGGATGAACTGACTGAGTAGATGTAGCAACCAATTACGTATTAAAGCTAGAAACCAACAATTAGAAATGAAAGACTAAGCAAATGTTTTCTGTATGTAGACTTCAGAGTTGAAGTGACCAGTCTCCAAAGCCTCTGAGATGTATAAGTGCAGAAACCTAACATACCTTTTGGCCATTCTACTTTACTTTGTAGACAATTTCTAAAAGGGGGAGTCTGGTGGAGCTGCGTTATCTGCTGACTTCACTAGATGTTCGATAAGTGAACTAGTCATTCACTTGTTTTGTCCTTTTGATAAGCATGCCAGACAGTGTTCTGAGATTCGTTTGGAAATACGCGTTCAGACCGATAGATATAAATAGCTGTCCAAGAGCAAGTAAATACTCAAATACACTGAAGTGGACCAGAGCAGCAGAGTAAGTGGACCTAGTTTCGCCATAAGTATTAAAACAGACAAACTTTGCAATATACCATGGTATAACTGCATTTTATCGCCTTCATATCATATCGTCTCGTTACTAGTTAAGTTTCATCAGAAAGTATAAGAGGAAACAACTGATACAGAGAAGAGGAAAGATAGTCAGTATGATGAATGTAGAACTTAAAGTTGCTACTAATAGCGAGATTGGTATTGTTATCTGCAGTGGAGCATCCAATAGGCTAGACAAATTAGGTAAACACTCATCTCATATCATCAATCATTTTAAATGTACTTGGCAGTATACACTGAGAGACACATAGACAGACCATCACTATTTTTTGCACGTGTAAAACAAACTTTCGCTTAGGAGGATCAAACAACACTGGCTTGGCTCAACTAGAGAGTGGATATGGGATAGATGTAAAAACTGTTTTCTGAATAATTAGCAGATGGTAAATTTAGAGTGTGACGAAGGGGAAGTTATTTTTCACATCTGGATAACTAACGGATGTCATCTTTGGATTTTCTACATAATAATTACACAGACTTTCATAAATTGGCACTCAAGACCGGTGCTGATGTCTACTTACTTGAAGATTCAGACATGAATGTCCAAAGTCACAATGAAAATGCCCCAATCCTCGGAGATGACAGTGATAATTTTTCTCCTGATCCATATTCACCAACTGTAAATGATGTGCACAGTGATGCAGACTACAGCAGAGTTGCACAGATATCGTTACAGGCCATTGAATCTGAAATCTATCCTGAAAGGATTTATCAAGGATAGAGTGGCAGTCATTTCGTGAAGAATATAGATGGCGTGAGTTTCACCACTGGATGTTTGTTCTCTGTCCATACTTGTTTCTTTCAAACCAACAGTTAGAACATATTCGTCGTCATATACATATTTATATGCGAGGAATAGCCTTTCCTTTTAGAAGCTAGTATATACGTATATATTTACGGATGTTCTTTCTGAGAGTGTACATGTGGACTTAGTTCCACCTCAAAATGCAAATGTGGAGGAAATATTTCTTCCAATAAAGTGATTTCATAGAGGTAAGATGTATTATTATGTCTGTTGATTGTAGTATTAGGATGCCTTCAGACAACTTGTGGTCAACACATTTAACCATTCCATTGCCTACTTTTAAACCTGAAGTCAATGCAAACCAGGTCTGCAGCATCGTCTGCATATCTCGGCATATCATATGCGGAGCACACTCGGATTCTTGCATAAGACATTCTTAGTTCACTTCAGATTTCAACGTCTCCGACTACACGAACTCTTTTAAATACTTACTCTAAGTCAATGACGCTTCAAGCTAGAAAGTGAATCCTCAGCCGCAGTTAAATTCATCAGTTTATCTATTTTGAAGTTAAGTAATAGTGATATTTGGTATCTGACAGACAACACTGATTGTTTGCAATTGATAGTGTTCTCTGAGCTCCTTGGTTTAATTGCGGAGCTTTCATCGTCTTTCTAGACGACATCTTCAGCGCAGTATTTAGGATAAAGTGAAATGATTTAAATTTCTTCATGAGTCTCCCGGTAACCATCTTTAGATATTTATTGACCGTTTTCTATTGATTGGGATTTTAAACTTTCTGATCACCTGATTTACTTCTTATTAGTTGGTATATTTCATCTATATTAACGTGTTTATTAATTGCGTTTTCATTTGAGTACCAGGCTTCTAGGAATGCTATAGATTTCACAGTATTCATAGTATTTCACAGCCTACACTTAGTTTGGTTACCTTTACCTATTCTCGAACTTGACAACCAAAAATGACCCCAGACTAACGAACGATGATCAAGTTAGTAAACTTTATTTTGATATAATAACAGATATACTATTACCTTTGATATTTGGTTTGAACGATCTTCATTGTTATTTTGACTTTCAATATGTCCTTTTAAGTTGAACTAAGTCTATATTTTTCTCACCCCCTAATTCTTTGTTATATATATGCTGAGATTTTGTAAATTCCGGTTTAATAATACTTTGAGAAAGCTATCAGCATTAAATAGCGAAACGTCAGTAAAAACAATCTCGTTTTGTTTTTCATTCATTGGGAAATACAAAAACCTCTATTATAATGAATGATAAGTTTTTGTTTTTGGTAATATTTCGAGCAAAATTACTGCCCGTGTGTGTTCACACCACTGTTGGAATTGTTTTGTTTTTTAATTCACAAATTTATGATTTGTACTCATATATATAGTTCCTTTTTTGTTCATTCATTTTGTGTATTGCAGGTTGTTGACAGTTGTGCTTCTGAGTCACCCTTGTTTCATGTATCCGATGTGACTTTAATGAATATCGATTCTGTTATGAGTCTCTCTTTCCATTTGTTCATGTTAGTTTTTAGAATACACACATTGTTCCAATCGATATTGTGGTTTATGTCCCATCCATGTGCATTTATAGATGAATTTTTTTCTAAATTCTTGTAAGCTTGTGTTTCTGTTTGTTGACCTTTAGATAGGCCTTGATGTTCATTCACTCTTATTTTGAGTGATCTGGACGTTTGCCCCACATATTTAGTCGGACAGTAAGCACAAGATATTTTGTAAATCAGATTGTTTTTATCCATCATTTTTATGGGATCTTTCAGTGGATTTATTTTATTTTTGACTGGATTCGTCGGTTTAAACGTTGTTCGAATGCCGATATTTTTGAGGTTTCTTTGAATGGCCTCTGATGTACCATTTTTATATGGTATTGCGACTGTCTTTTTCCATTCTTCCATCTTGTTATTCTCCGGTTTTACCCTCTTTTTCCCCTTTTTTTATATAATTTTTTATAAATTCTTTTGGGTAGTTGTTTTCGAGTAGCATTATGAATAGGACTTTTATTTCTTTACACTGGTCATCTAGTGCTGTTGTAAGTCTACGCATTCTATCTGCAAGACCTTGTATTAATCGTCGTTTTACTATGAATGGATGAGCCCAGTGATAATCAAACAATATTCCAGTGTGTAGTTTTTCTCTATAGCGTCGTTTTTATGCTGCCATCTGCTACTCTTTGTATTTTGCGGTCTAACATAGGCAGTTCTCCAATTTCATTCTCTATTTCCATAGTGAATTTTATTAAGTCTACATGACTGTTTATGTGTGTGAGAACAATTTCTCAACATCGTTTTTTTCTCTCCTTATTACCAACCTGTCATCTACATATCTCCACCAACATTTTATTGATAACCTGAATGGTTTAAATGCATTCTCTTCACAAAATCCATGAATATGTTAGCTATTATTGGTGAGATGGGTGATACATGTAACAACGGTGACTCAGTACAACTGTCAACAACCTGGAATATAACTCTGAATACAGAAAAATGAATGAACAAAAACAATGAACTATATATATATATATATATATATACTTAAAAACCAAACTGTAGAAAGTTAATTTTATGCTCGCCAGTGACTTGCTACAGGATGGAGTTTCCTGGAGTTCTAGAGTGAAGTCATGACCAATGAGGTCCATCCAGACGTCACGTGTGAGGATGAATGTCCCATCGATGACATTGATTGGGGTCGCGCTAAATCACAAATAGGTAGAAGTTAGAGCTCATGGGATGGCCACTGAGGAATCAGGTCCGAGTGGCTGAATGTTATACAAGATTGTTTGTCTTGTAACCGGAAGGTCTTGGGTTCGGACCCTGGCAGTGTTTGCGTACTTCCGATGATTCCCAAACTAGGATGAAATAGCAGCTTTCCAGTACTCCCTGGTTTTCAATGGTTCTCTAGCTGATATTAATCCGTGATCAACTCCTAAAAACTTATCATTGTGTGTAAAACATTGAAATATAATTATACTTTATTTAATCTATTCCACAATGCTCAAAGTTTTTATTGACATTAATTATGAGATAGGCTTTAAAGTGACAGGGTTGATAGAGAGAGAAAAAATTATCCATTATCAGTGTTGTCATATAGATATGCATTAAGTCGTATTCAAATCGCTAGAGAGCTAGTTAGAGCGGTAAAAGCCACAAACAGAAAACAACTGTTCCTTTATTTACAGTAATTAAAACGCTTGGACAACCTTTTACAGGTATGAATTAACAGTCACAATAAGCAATGCATCATCCTTCAATAACTTTGTGATACAGAAGCAAGGATTGACTAATATTACAAAAAAAGGTGGTTATTCTACTCAAAACATTACGGTTAAATATGAATTCAAAATAGCTATTATACAAGGGAGGGGGTGGCTAAAGTAAATACCATAAACAAATCTAAACACAAATTATAGTAGTAGTAGTAGTATGTGTTAGTGAGTAGCAGCTGCATGATCCTTTGAAGAATGAGCATATTTAATAACATCTTCTGTAAATTCAGTTGTCGACGAATTTCCACCAACATCTGACGTCAGCGCCTTCTTCGCTTTAAGTACTTTAAGTACAGCTGACTCAATTTTATTGGCATAACTCTCCAGATTGATATGACGTAGTAGGTTGGAACTAGCTAGTAGAATAGCTGTTGGATTAGCTATATTCTTGCCAGATGCCCATGAGAATGTATGTCGACTACCTGGTTCAAAAACGGCAACCTACACATATCAAAACACAGTACAGATAAACAGAATAAAAATCAATGAACATCTATGAACTGCAACGTTGTATACTGTGCTTTAAACACCAAGGTTACGAATGTGCGTCGGTGGCACAGTGGTTAGGACTCTCGCCGACCATGCACATGGTCCGGGATTCGAGCCCACGCCAGCGCACACCTGATATCTATGGTCGGCCTGCAAAATTTGGGCTACCGATATCCATGCTGAAAATTCCATACTTGTACCAAAAATACAGTGTGGAATCAAGCTGTAAATAAAAAATAAAATAAAATAAATCAAATTGTGAAAATAATTCTTACTGATAAAAAATACGTCCTATATTGGTATATATTAATTTGCCTATTATCCAATTATAGACATAAAAATGAATTGTCCATACATCAAGATGACCAAGTTTCCATATCATAATGATGATAGGAATGCGCAAAACTATACACAGGAACGATATATGAATGTGAGTATGTTTCAAATGCAACAGATTTGCAATTCCTCAGTTTGAATGCGCTCTGGACGACACAATTTACAGCAGAGAGAGAGAGAACCTCGAGGACAAAAAACAACACTGAAAAGACTACCACTATTGAAAACAACTTTACAAATCAATATCTAGAAAGAGAGTATAAGAAGTTATTGAATCACCTGGTGACCATACGGTTCAGGATATCTAGGGAATTGAGTCGACTAACAATACTTAAGAACATGCTATTTCCCGTGTCAATTTTTGCAAGTTTGTACGCCTGTATAAATTGCCAGACTCACCAAAACATTTTCGAGAGGTTGCGATGTCTCAAATAGTGTACGAAAAACCTTATTTCTAAAGTGAAGGTAGAAGCTTTCGATTTTAATCATGCTATGAATCAAATGAACTTAGTCTTCGGAATCAAGTTTGTCAAGTTCATTCGAAAGGTTTAGACTAAAACTGTGGTGAGAGCTGTCTGCTAGCCAGAATTGGTAGACAGTAATTTACGTAAATGTTTACGTCATGAGAAAAAAAACAAGAACAAAGACTAACTCAACAACCAATCACGGCAGACTTAGAGTGGGAGGATACGATTAGCAGATATATCACCGGACTGTCTAAGAAAGGGCAAAAAAAAGAGATAACAGAATTACCTTTTGAAGAACTTTTTAAGAAATTGACCGACAACAGCACACATAACGAACTGAAGCCTAGAGGAACCAAATTACTTTACTTATAC